CATCATACACAGCACATGCTCACATGAGTCACATTTACGACTCAGTAAACACGATGTTTTAACAACATATTAGACTGATATTAATATAATCTTATTAAAAATTATATTTAATAAAATCAAATGAAATAAAAGATTTATACAGAATTGATTCTTTAGCACACAAACATAAACTAAAGGGTTGTAACAATAGCTAATTATGATATTTTAAGCAGCAAAATAGTAAATCTAGACTGTAGAGGCTGAGGTTTTTTTGTCTGTGCCAGCTAAGTTGCCAGTTCATTGCCAGTTATTTTTCTTTGTGCCAATATCCATTTAATGAGGTCTTTTTTAAACTTTTCCATTTTCTGCCTTCATGGGGTCCCTTCATAGGGTATCCATCAATTAGGACTATTTTTACTTCTAGTTTTCCATAAGTATTTCTGGCTATGATTATATCTGTGGTGTTTTTGGTCTCTTTACCTCTGCTGTCTTTTTACCATAAAGGAGTCACAGTATTAATTCAACTCCCATAGTAAGCATATGAAAACACCATCATATTTAAAATTGAATAACTTAAAATTTCTGGGTTCTGATGGGTGTATTTCTTCAGGCACAACTATCCTTGGTGCAAGTTTCTATGTGGAGAACACCATATGAGCCGCGCATTTTTCTTTTTTTGGCCTACATGTGCATGAAACACATTTTATTCATTCTGCACCAAACGAATCAAGTGTTACTTTTCATTATTGAGTAATCTTAAGTCAAGCCTGTAAAAATACTAAATTTGCATCAATATAATTTTGTCTATATTTTTTTAAATTACACATAGGTTAAGCTTTAAAAAGATGCTTTTGCTAAACTTTTAATTTTCATTATTAACCAATTATGGATAACCAAACCCTTATATACTCTATCATTTTTTCCACCCATTTCTAAACTAGTTCACAGTTCTTCTATATAATTAGTACCGTGTGTCATAAAGGGGAGGGGGAGTTGTTTCCCCTTTATGATCACATGGGCATACCCCTAATAAATTCCTAGATAAGAAATGAAATATTAGAAATTCAAAAGGTTGTCTATACATTTCGCGTTCTACGTTCAACAGGATACGCAATGATATCTGACGATTCTTTGTATACCCACCCACAAGCGAGCCCTAGTTGGTGCAAAACCGCACCAGCACAAGTTTCGACAGGTGATGACTACACGTAAATTGTCAGTTATCCGAATGTCTTACCTTTGACTTTCGAAAGCTTCGCCTGCGGCCCCCAACTAAATACCTTTAGTTATAAACCCGCTAGCAATACGCTGAGTCCGGAGATCGAACCCACGAAGTAGGCCAGTTATGGTTTGGAAATCCAACGATATTACAACTACTCCACAGCAAATCCGAAACTAACATAAATACCTTCTGTTGACGATCAATCAAAAACGTTTCAGATAATTTATAATTATCCCGTGCTTCAGAATATTGAATGAAATAAAATACATAGAGTTATTTACAAAAACTAAAACATACAAGTTCGCACTACGTGAGAAGAAATCAGTATATGTACATTAATAAAGGACAAAGTCGTAAATCAATGCAATGACGATCCACAAGTAAAATTACTCAAAGGAAACAGATTTGCTATAACAATACTCAATAATATTTATAAATAAACTGGTAACTTTTCGCGGATAATACATCAGTATAAACAGTGTTAACACAAACAATAATATGTAGTCCACATGTAGAGTCAGTCAAGCGAAATATGTCTTCTATCGTTACCTTAGAAAATGTTTTCCTAGATAATCTGCGACAAAATAGGTCTCCAAAGTGTATACAATAATCAGTTTTACCTGAAATTTCAGCGAGTTAGCGTATTAACCTCAACTGGTAAAACCAGCTAGTTTTTTAATGGCGTAGTCACGTGACCTGAGTAATGTCTAACCTTTTGGGTCAAATTGGGATCCCGGTAATATATTATATTTTGAAAAATAACGCTACATTACTAGATATACAGCAAAACATTGTCTATTTGCTAACATACTGATTTGTAATTAAATAATAATAATAATAATAATAATAATAATAATAATAATAATAATAATAATAATAATAATAATAATAATAATAATAATAATAATAATAATAATAATAATGATGATGATGAGTGAAACTGCGTTTACTATGGAATCTCCTAAAGCAAAGTTAGATTTACAACGACTGGATGCGATTAGGAAATATCCTCCAGCACGTGATTCTATCAAACAGCAGCTGCAACAACGCCAGGATGATCATGTAGAATTTACAGAAAGAACAGAACAGTTATTTAAACCAGTCACAAAAGCCACTAAAGATCTTATTCAGCCGGTGGAATAACAGGTAAATCAACCGAATAGAATGCAAATTTAACCGACAAAATAGCAGAAAGAATTATACAGAGATTCTCAAAAAGCTTCCAGCTACAATAGCCTCTGCTCCAATACCATTACAGGAAGACATAGAGGAAGCGATTGATAGAATTGACGAAGCTCGTGATGAAATCGCTAAAGGAATCTTCTTGCTGTTAAAATTCCACTTGCCGAATTTATCAGAGAAATTTATGAAATACTTCAAACAAACCTGTAGCGGTTGCTTCAGCAGGATATTAAATAGATCATTCATGATGTTGTAATGTCGTATGATCACGTCAATGTCACTCTGACACCTGGTCAAATTAAAAATATTCAATCCGCATCGAAGACGAGATATGGAGCTAAAATAGCTCTGAAATCAGTGACGTTTCAGGGCCCAATTAATTTATCGTTGACTGAAAGTCATCTGAAACACCACAATGACACCAAGAAATCAAGAACTGGAGTTTGACTTGATCTTTCTGCAAATGCGATCAGCGACGCAACAAAAATTGGCGGTATATTTCATTTTCTAGCCGCATTATCAGCGCTAATTGAAGCAGCTGCTCAAGCTGTTGCAAAATCAGCTGAACTTGGCTTTAAAAAAGCGACAGGACAAGGCATAAACACTTCAAAAAAGGGACATTGTCTAAGATTACCAGGAACTCATTAGGGTTAACTTCTCAAACTGCTGGGGATGAATCGCTAAAACTCCCCGTGTCCTATTTTGTTTCACTTGATAAGGCTGGGCAATTAAATATAAATCATTTCAGATGTTTTTTTCATGCCAGTTCTTTTACCAACAAAACCAAATCGCGTTGAAAACAGTATCGATGGAAGATCCCGCCCTGGTACTCAATGGCTATTCAAGTTGAGATTGACACTGCAGTCTGGTTTGTTAAAGTGACTGCCGAATCAAATTGGTATAACTGGATGAATACTCGCTGAAAACTCGAATGATTCAATCTCAACAAATCCAGTTAGGTAGTAGCGGACCGTTTATTGCAACTCGTGTCATTCCGTGTGTTGGGTGTCCGAATCGTTCAAAATGACGATGACACCTAGTCTAATAAAGCAGCAGGATAAGCTGCTACGTTATCAAGTGAAATCATCTCAGAGTAATACCTTTGTGTGTTCCTAAGATCGTCATGACCAAACTCAACACAAAACTGTGATAACATCATGGACAAATTCTTTTTGTGCTGGACGAGACAATTTTTGTTGTGAGATGCGAGATGCAACAGACGAAATAGTAAAACAGTTAACGAGTAAATTATCGTTCTCGCCGTCATATTTTACCGCAGTCTGTTTCATAGCATGGTGGAGGGATGATCAGTCGTCAATGCTATTTATCCAAACGTCTTTGACGCGTGACATTTAAAGTCTATAATGGTTACAGGAGCACCTTTGCTACGATAAATCTCAGTCGTATAAATGCTTATTGGTTATTGTTTTTACAATTATTGGAATCTTCAGTGTTTTTTCAAGTTTAGCAAGATCATTTATTTTAGCTCCGTTAAAAAGAGTTTTCCCAATTATATACTTTTATATTATTGATTCTGTAAGTCTATTCCCTTGTCTGGAGTTTGCAAAATGTTAACGAACCTGTTATCATCAGAGCAAAAGCAGCTATATGTGGTTCGTTTAAACGATAAAATACATAAACAACTGCGGAACTGGATATGCTTATGGTTTGTCAATTCATGTGGAAATATTTGCTTTAGAATTTTTTATCTACTATGACGACATTGTTGTGTCGCCGTGATTCCTTAACAGGGTCGCGTTATTACGAATAATGCAAGTCGGACCATCTTTACTGACATGTTCAGCAATAAATTTTATTCTGAATATATACTTGCCGTAATCAACAAGATTAGTAGCAACAGCAGATGTGTAATCAATAAATGTTCCATTGCCACCAATATTGTATGTTCGAAACAAGAAACATGAGATGTATCATCGTTGATAAATTCGTTCTTCGCTTTTGTTTGATAAAATGATCCAGTTGTAACTCAAATGGCATTTGCTTTCTGTCAAGTGTTAATCAGTCAAAATCTGAGTTTGATTGGAGTTGGATTTTTTAACGTAGCTGTAACAAGTTTTCAGTCATATCGCTAGATGTCTGCAGTGTAGCAGTTTATAGTGATGTATAGAACTGGTGCACCATACTGCAGACATGTAGCATGATGTTAAGCTAACCATACATCTATCCATCCATCACTCTATATATCTATCCACTTACCTACCTACCTCTATATCCATCCACTCATCCACCAACCAACCCACTCACCTACACACTCATCTCTCTCTCTCTCTCTCTCTCTCTCTCTCTCTCTCTCTCTCTCTCTCTCTCTATATATATATATATATATATATATATATATATATATATATATATATATATATATATATATATATATATATATATATATCTTTTACACAAGCCCCTGCAACCAGTTACAAGGGCAAACGCTTTCGCACTTGTTTCGTTATCTAAAAGCTGCCAAATGATCTCATATCCTGATTATTAGCTTTTCTTGTCTGTCACATTATCCTGACACCAGGCCGACCAGTCCTAACACTAAAGTCTTAATGACGAGCACCAAGCGAGGCAGCTGTTAGCACAATTTTTATAAGTATTTTGAATCAGTCGGCTGGGATCGAACCCGCGACCTCCCGCTTCCGAGGCTGATGCTCTAACACTAGGCCACCGGAGCAGTAAATCTGATTTGGTGATGTGCTCTGGGTTAATCACAGATAATCGTGTAAACTTATTTTGTGTTGTTTCTAGTGATGTATGTTTGCAAGTATGTTTGCATTTATGTATGTATGTATGTATGTATGTATGTATGTATGTATGTATGTATGTATGTATGTATGTATGTATGTATGTATGTATGTATGTATGTATGTATGTATGTATGTATGTATGTATGTATGTGCGCGTGCGTGCGTGCGTGTGTGTGTGCGTGCGTGCGTGTGTGCTTGCATGCGTGGATGATGTGTGTGATCTGCGTTTGATGGATGATAATGATACTAAATAAGCACGTTCTACCAATTACATGACACAGGGGGATGTTGGATAATCGTATTAATAAAAGCCTAAGTTTTCATTTATGTTCAAAGAAGCGTTGAAATTGCGATTCATTCCCTCTTGGCTTGAAATCGGCATTCGTTTTGTTTGTTATTATTGTTTTTCCATATATCATCATGTCTTTGCAAATTATTAATGGTTTTGTTAACTATGTTAGTGACCACGTGATGTTTTTCAGTAACCATTGCAATCTTTATTAAAATTGATGTTTATTTTTCAGGTAATAGGTTCAGGGATGCCAAAATAAAAGCTTTTCAAAATATGATGTCATGTATTTGAATGACTTCTATTGTAATGTATGAAGTGTTCAAATTCCATATGGCATGATATGGACGGAATGTCCATTTTATTATTGTTACTGGAGAAAAGACGAGGAGCAAAGCCTTAACACTTTTCTGTATTAACTTATTATAACGTATTATGTAAATATCAACAGCATGCACCATTTCCTGTAGTAGTAGTAGTAGTAGTAGTAGCAGTAGTAGTAAATATAGTAGTAGTAGAAGTAGGTAGGTGTGTGTGTGTGTGTGTGTGTGTGTGTGTGTGTGTGTGTGTGTGTGTGTGTGTGTGTGTGTGTGTGTGTGTGTGTGAACCAGCATAACGAGATATTTCTTTATGGGTATAAAGACTTCTTGCTCTACTTTGGGAGACAGATAGCAAATATTATTCATACCAATGCTGTGGTAAAGACTGTAACCATGTTACAAAAACATGGCTAGGAATCGTGTTGTTTACTCTGGGTTTTTTTTGTGTTTTATTTAAATAGTTCTCTGCATGAATCACCTTCAAAGGCAAAAACAATAGGGAAGATGCCATTGGTGCTTAGAAAATGCAGTTAATTTATGGTATTATGAAATAAATTTTTGTAGCCGTTGCCTGAGTTGTCTTGCCTGACATTTGTATGTAAAAGTCATAGTCCATCTGTTTATACAGTTAATGTATTTTTAAACATTAAACGCTTTGTAAAAATCGGAATTAAATAGATCGCAGATCGGTGATCTGTAGAATAAATATTTTATACAAGCAATAGTTTCAGAGGTAAACATTTGAGAAGGCGAACACGCACCTACCGCCACAACGGTAATAAAATATAAATAATAAATATAAATTTGTTTCAAAAACTTGCACATTGATCGACTAGTAAAACTTGACGCAGGATGTACCATAACGTAATGCTTATTTGTTTCAGAAGTAGGCTTACAACTCATTATTATTCACAGGTTTATCATTGTCTCTAGAGATTTAATATGCATATTTTATTACGATGAAGGTCTAGATGTATTACGAATGGAAACCATGACATTTATGTGGTGAGTGCGCATTTACTTATAGGTCCATAAATAATGATATGCGCATGTAATGTTATTATTATTATTATTATTATTATTATTACTATTATATATATATATATATATATATATATATATATATATATATATATATATATATATATATATATATATATATATATATAACTTCTGATATGGTGAAATGGGTGTATCTTTGTATAGTATTTACATCATAGCTGTATCTATTGACTACCATAATTACGTATATTATTTCATTTCAAATCTCTGTATGTGTTGGTGTGTATCTGTGTATGTGTCTGTGTGTGTGATGTGCGAACGTACCTGAGGTAAGATGCTAAAATAGAGGACAGATCAAAGTATAACGTTTAAAGTGATTTCTATTTTGGTTGGTTAGGTGCAAACTAGAGCATCTGTCACACATTCTGATTCCACAGTACAAGACACTGAAAAAGATTTCGTTGTACATTTAGCTTTGGATGGATAAGAATATGACTTAGAAGGAACCATTACAATCTAACTCCCACACTACATTTCAGATTCAAAGATAGATTATGATCTTGGTGATTTGCTTACGACAACACTTTGCAAAAGCAATCTGGTGAATTTTGACGAACAAAACTACCGTGGTCAATTCCGGTGTTACAAAAATGAAAATGGAATCCCAGCAGCTTATAAACAGCCTGTAACAATTAGTCAAATGACAGACTATGAAACAAACTAAGAAAATTTCAATCAATATTATGGAGACAGATAAGAAAATCTTACAATCTGGACAATATATCATTTGGCAGTTATAGAAAACGAAACAAGTGATAAAGCGTTTGCCATTGTGACTGTGTTTGCAGGAGCTTGTGTAAATGATAGATAGATAGATAGATAGATAGATAGATAGATAGATAGATAGATAGATAGATAGATAGATAGATAGATAGATAGATAGATAGATAGATAGATAGATAGATAGATAGATAGATAGATAGATAGATAGATAGATAGATAGATAGATAGATAGATAGATAGATAGATAGATAGATAGATAGATAGATAGATAGATAGATAGAAAGATGGATGGATGGATGGATGGATGGATGGATGGATGGATGGATGGATGGATGGATGGATAGATGGATGGATGGATGGATAGATGGATGGATGGATGGATGGATTCAAATGACTTTTTTGTTTTAGTATTCATAAAATGATATCACCTATGTAGGTAGATAGACATCGTCATAGCTAACTTTCTAGCAAGTAATTGATCCACCAAGTTACATATTAGTTCATCGACACACTTGTCCTAGCATGCAACTGTGAAAACAGTATTTTTAGAAATCATATGGTTCTGCACAAGTACGTCAGTAAATGTATGTATGTATGTATGTATGTATGTATGTATGTATGTATGTATGTATGTATGTATGTATGTATGTATGTATGTATGTATGTATGTATGTATGTATGTATGTATGTATGTATGTATGTATGTATGTATGTATGTATGTATGTATGTATGTATGTATGTATGTATGTATGTATGTGTAGGTAGGTAGGTAGCTAGCTAGCTAGCTAGGTAGGTAGCTAGTTAGCTGGCTAGGTAGGTAAGTAGTTCGGTTGGTCGGTCGGTAGTTAGGTAGGTCGTTTGGTAGCTAGGTAGGGAGGTTGGTAGCTAGGTAGGCGTTATATCTGCAATTGTTGTATTGCAATGGCACACTATATGTATATTCTACCATTTACGTGACACAGCAAAATTTTGCATACTCGTTCAAACTCTACAAAACGCCCAGGAGGTTAATATGTGTTTGATGATTTGGACTGAAAGCTACATTTTTCATTACTGGATCACAAACTGTGGAGAAATGCTGTTATTTCATGTTGTTCCTCTTCATGTCATTTTGCACCATATAACATCATTCATTTATAAATATTTAATGGACTTGCTTTGCTATATCATTGATCTTAGTGACCTGCTTTTTTGGTTCAAATTACGTTCACAACAGCTTGCTTGAAATCGATGCATATTAGCTAGGTGATGTGTTTAAAAATTGCATAAATAAAGAAACACTGGCCAAAATATAATGCTATATATTTTTATAACTTCTGTTGTAATAAATGAACTGACTGAAAGTCAGTTTAATTGTTGGTAATAGAAAAACAGACGAGGAGAAAAGTCTTTTACGTTTTTCTTTTAAAACTAATCATTTATGGGTCATTTATTATTTATAAATATTTAGGTGATTTGTCCTTCCATTCTTAAATTATGACAAAAATGTAACGTTGAAAATAAATTTTTAAAAAATAGTTTTTTGTGTGCCCGGATCCAATATTCTAAAAACTTGTTTTAGTATCAAACTCCGAGTCTGAGATATAATTATCTTAAATCTTAGAATCATGGCAATTTCAGAATATTTTCAGATTGGCTAGAAACAAAATGTTTCAATAATATAGACAGTATGTGATTTTTATCTGATTTGTAGTTTTGACCTTGATCTGTTTCATACTCAAATACTTTTTGAAAAAATGTATGATGAGGCCTGAATTTCACCAAAATAATTTAAGTTTGTATTGAAATTTAGGATTATAATCCAGCTATCTGAATGGTTCAAACTTTTTAAAAATTTTATTTAAATCTGACTAATTAAATATCTTAAAAAGTCTTAATAAAACGATAATCATATGTTGCTGATATAGAGGTCTTGTCTAGTAAATATAACAGTCTACTTTATTAATATTTATTGTACCTGCGAAGGGATATAAACTTTTCAAAATCAACAAAAAATTTCCATTTACGTTGATCGAAACTTATGCATTGGATACCAGTCTCGGTATATGCACATGTCTAGTTCCGGTGGTCTAGTGGTTAGAGCGTCTGCCTCGAATGCGGGAGGTAACGGGTTCGAACCCCGGCTAAGTCATTCCAAAGACTAATAAACATGGTACTAACAGCTGCCTCTCTAGGCGCTCAGCATTAAGAGGTTAGTGTTAGCTGTTAGAATAGTGTGATTAGATAGGACAGCATGCTACATGCCTACAGCATGATTCTCCAGTGCAGGACATCACTATAAACTGCCACACTGCAAAGATCATAGCTATATGACTGCAGAATTTTTAAAGCTACAATGAAAATCAAAATCACACACACACACACACACACACACACACACACACAAATACATACATGTCCAGCTTGGTATTGAAATGATTGTTAACATAATTTGATGCTAAAAACCTAATGTACATTCATACAAGGAAAAACACAATGAACATAAAAAATACAAATCTAGGCTCGTTCAAAAAAAAAGAAAAGAGTGAGACCAACAAGCTTTGTAATTTTTAACAAAAAATTATTTATTTCCCTACAAAACACAGTAAAAGTATCATAAAAAGTTTGTGAATATAATCCAAAAACTAATCCATAATTGAAATACACAAGTCCTATCTCTAAAACATCCTAAATAAATCCAAGTTAGAATCCCAGCGAAGTTCAAAGATGGCGGACGATGACGTCAGATGAATGAAGTATTGATGTCAAGAGTTCCACATTGAATATTATGAATCACAAAAGAATATTCCGACTTTAGCACTCTGAATAATTTCCACTGAATGTCTCTGTTCAAAGCTTTGATGACAAAGCACTTATTTCCAGAAGAGAATATAAATTATTCTTAGGTAACAAATAACTTCAAATTTGCAACAACAAGAAATACTTTTGATTTCTTGAATGTACCTCTACGACTTAATTGCAAAAACAGTGATATAGAATATGAATCCCACTAAAACGTCATTTCGACACTTATGATATAGGTCGCATGATCTTTGCACACAAGGCACTTGATACGTGCGCCCGGTTAGTCTTATTTAAGATACAATAACACAAAAAGCTGATGACACAAAGTGATCACGTAAGTAATTTATGAAGACCTTGATACTGACCAATTATTTAAATTTCATTTAGTCATGTGTCTGAACGAGGTCAGCTAAAAATAATGTTAATAAAATACTTTTCAGTTCTGTACAAATAGAATGTAATTTTTAAAAACAAATCTTCACTCCCGTGAAAATAATCATTACAATAAAATGTACTGAAGCAAAATTAAAATAAAAATGAATTTTAAAACTAACACACTATCAATTTAATTACATATTCGCATCACTTACCCCAATAAAGAAAAAAGAAAAGTTTATCTAATAAAGCTTTCTTTAAACAGAATGTAAATTATACATGAAGTTAAAAAAAATTCATAAGAAAACCCATGAATTATACAAACTGTACATGAAAAAGTTCTAGACACAGGAAAGTTCATCTGCAATCAGATTTTCTTTTCCTTTTATGTGCTTGATGTTACGATTATATTCGTTCAAAAATAATCTCCACCTTAACGTTCTTTGCTTTTTATTACTCGTGTTGTCGATGAAAGTGAGGGGTTGTGATCACTATACACAACAACCGGAGAAGGAGCTGGGCTCATGTAAACTTCAAAATGTTGTAATGCCAAAATTAAAGGCAAACATTCTTTCTCGATTGTTGAATAGTCTCTTTGGTGCCTGTTAAATTTCTTTAAAAGAAAAACAGCACACTGTAAGAACAACTCTATTTCTATCTTCTTGAATCAAAACTGCTCCAACCACAACATTACTTGCATCCACAGATAATTTAAACGGCTGACTCAAAATGGAGGTGTACGAACTGGTGCACCTTTGAGTATGTCTTTTTACCTATCAAAAGCCTTCTGAAATTTTTCAGTCCAAAGAAACTTGTGTTTTTCTTGCTTAACTATGCCTGTCAGGAGTTCAGCAATATTTGAAAAAATCGGAAAATATTTCGATAGTATCCGGCCATACCCAAAACTCGCATCAGTTACTTTATACTGACAGGCACAGGGAAATCAGATATATTTGACCTTAGCATTTATAGGTTTAACTTCACCATGCCCCACAATATGTCCTAGAAATGTCACACAAGCACAGCAAAACTCGCTTTTAGATAAATTGATTGTCAGATTTGCATCTGTAAGTCTGTTGAACAAGTTCCGAAACGTTGTCAGATGTTCTTTCCAGGTGTCGATGGAGATGATGACATCATCGATATAAGCTTCACAATTGTTTATACCGGAAGGAGTAATATTCATCAAGTGTTGACAAGTACTGGTAGAACCCTTCATCCCGAACGGCATTACTTTATATTTTTTAAAGTCCATTTGGAGTTACAAATGCCAAAATTTCTTTTAATCTTTCTGTTAGTGGAATTTACCAAAATCCTTTCAGAATGACAAATTTGGTGACACACTTGGCATTTCCAATTTTATCAATACAGTCATCGATTCTTGGTAATAAAAATAAAACTGTTTTTTCTCACACTGAGGCAAGCATAAAACTTAGTATACATTGCAGTTGTCTCACTGATACTAATGGAATCTACAAGCAATAAACGTACATTCGCACCAACATGGTGCTGTTTAATATTTTTCGTTTAGCGAATAAAATCTTTTGCAAATCAGCGCATTATTCAGAAAATATCATAGATCTGGGAGAATTTACTTGTTTTGTATGTTATTTTATCTGTTTTTTATGTAATTGTTCCCGTTTTGAGGTTATTTTAGTCATTTATTATGAGGTTTTTTTTGTAGATTATCTTGATTTCGATGGGGTGAAAACCCCAGAGATTCATTAAATGATTTTCAAGAAAATCAACAAAAACAATGAAAATCGACCAAATTGTTAACATTTTCTAATGACCGTTGATAATTTTTTTGCTTAAAAGTTATTATTTTTCAAAAGAAATTATCATTTTTGTTAATTTTCTTGAAAATCAATTAAAGAAACTCTGGGGTTTTCACCTCATCGAAATCAAGATAATCTACAAAAAAACCTCATAAAAAATGAAAATCGACCAAATTGTTAACATTTTCTAATGACCGTTGATAATTTTTTTGCTTAAACGTTATTATTTTTCAAAAGAAATTATCATTTTTGTTAATTTTCTTGAAAATCAATTAAAGAAACTCTGGGATTTTGCCTTCCAGTAAATGAAAATTGACAATAATTTCATTATTGCATAAATTATCATTTTTGTTAATTTTCTTGAAAATCAATTAAAGAAACTCTGGGGTTTTCACCCCATCGAAATCAAGATAATCTACAAAAAAACCTCATAACAATGAAAATCGACCAAATTGTTAACATTTTCTAATGACCGTTGATAATTTTTTTGCTTAAAAGTTAACATTTTCTAATGACCGTTGATAATTTTTTTGCTTAAAAGTTATTATTTTTCAGAAGAAATTATCATTTTTGTTAATTTTCTTGAAAATCATTTAAAGAAACTCTGGGATTTTGCCTTCCAGTAAATGAAAATTGACAATAATTTCATTATTGCATAAATAATGATGCTGTATACTCAATGTTTATATAAAATCCCCCAAAAAAACGCCTTACGGTATAGCAGTAATGCATGAAGTTTTTTTGAGACACTATCAGTCCGTTATGAATTACCGATCGATTTTATCTCATAGCAACGGCTGGTTTTAAGCCATTGCGTATAAACTCTGCATTTTCGTTTATAGATTTATATAAAAATCATGTATTTCTGTAATGTGCTTGGAAACTGGATTGTGATTCTGTTAAGAATTGTAATTCTGTTAAGAAATCAACTACTGTGAATCTGCTAAAAATATACACGTAAGCGTCCGGTGGCCGATTGCTAACGCTAGAGGTCCGTGGTTCGTAATTCGTGAATGACAAATTGTCTGCGGAGGAGATCATGTGCCACAATCTGTAATTTATTGGGGGTTCATGCCGTCCCCTTCTTCGCGTCAGCACACCTACCCACTTGTCAACACGTGGTAGGTGCAGTTTTTCACCCCCCCCGTGGGTTAGATTATGGGGATGGGTGTGCTGACATAAAGAAAAGGCTCGTCATTATCATATCATTATCATCATATCATCATCTTCATCATATCACGATCATCATCATTATTTTTATACCTTAATTAAGTTTATGTCACCTCTGAACTTTCTGGGATGTCATAAGGCAACCTGGAACTTCACATAGGTCAAAATTTGCCGTCCAAAAATATACAGCGGGGTCATGTATAATCGTGACATTGTGACTTCCCTAAATGAGTACCCCACACAAGGGCCATTCCACAAGAAACATCGCTAGACTGAAAATAAACCTCATTAGGTTCCTGGTCACAATAAAGACCTTCAGCCCTCTGAGTTTCTAAAGTTTCAGTTGCGGATATTTAGAAATTCTCCGGGGGGAGGCGTAAAGTCTAAACAGAGACTCTTGAAACCTCATTAGGTTTATCTGATATAACTCGTAGAATAGTAGATCAAATGTGACTCCGCTGTGTATTTTTTAAATATTTTATATTAAACAAACATTTATTATATATGAATTCTGAAAATATCAATGTTATTATTTCTGCGATTCAAAAATTTAAAAATAACGGTATAAATGTATCTGATAATCTTAATCCTGAAAACATTCTCTATGACTTTGAATCATTACAACAACGCAGAAATGAGAATAGGTACACACTGCCATTTGATTATAAATTCATGAAATTTATCCAGCAGGCAATGGTTAAGTTACTGGTAACATTTACGATAATCAGGTAATTCTGTTTGTGCCTCTCTCAAACGCTATTGACAACATTCAGTTAGAATTATCTCATGAATACGAACAGAAGAAGATAATGAACTTTCATATAAGATAGTTAAGGAAGCATTGTGTAAATGAAAGTAAAAGTGATGATAAAAATGAAAGTGATGGACCAGTGGCTGATGGCTAAACAAAATCCCAGGGAAAATTGACAGTTTATTTACTTTTTATATGATATATCATTCAGAAGGCGTTATTCAGAATTATTTTGATAATTACCCGAGTAAAAAATGTATTCTGAATCGTGTT